TACTGTCAGAACAACTAATCATTCCATGAGTATGTAGTAAAAACACATGAGACATTTCTTGAGTCTTTTTTCTTTCTTTCTGAATTTTTGCGACACTTAGACCTCTTATTGGCAGGACTTCTAGCCTTCCCTGCCAGGCTAGAAAGTTTTCCCCCAGCATCACTGAGTCTACTGCTGTCAGGTTGGGGCCAGCTAGGTGAGGCTGGGATGTTGACAATGCCAGGTATCCTGCTGATAAAGGGACTGTTAGGGACAATGTGATAGCTCATTAGATGCAAGCAAACGGTAATTTCCGATAAAGATGGAGGTAGGTGCGTTTATGTTTGGCATGCCTGGCAATAAGACAGATTATTCTACCACTCTATATTTTTATAAATTAGTATTCAGTTTACCTACAGCTAAAAAAAAAAAAAAAAAAGCCACTAATTACATGATTACTGCTCTGCCATATGGTCCTATTGTTAGGGCAAGTCAAGAAGGGGCCCCCACTTGAGAACCCTTCACTGTCAAACCATCTGGAGGCAGCTTTGACTACAATGTCTCAGCCTTTAAGGGTCAATGGTACAGCAGAGCACTGCTCACCAAGCCAGAGAAAGCTTAACTCAAGTCCTGAGCCCTCTTGTAACCTTGCAGGTGGCCTTTAGTAAGCTCTCCTATTCCACAGTTGTCAAGTGGGGAAAGTAGGAGCTGTTTTGAGTTTCAACCAAAGGAACGCATATAAATGTGAACGTGTTTTAAGGGGAGTGATGGTAGTGTTGGCTATCATATACAGAAACCCTACCATATGCCATGCTTTATCTCTATGCATTAAAAAAGTTCCCCTTCTGTCTTAGTTATCTAGTGCTGCTATAACAGAAATACCACAAATGAATGGCTTTAACAAACAGATTTTTTTTCTTTTATTGTCTGGGGGTCTAGGCGTGTGTTTTGGGGGCACGCTCTCCGGGGGGAGTCTCTCTCTCTGTTGGTTTTGAGGCAAGGTCCTTGTCATCAATCTTCCCCTGGTCTAGGAGCTTCTCAGCTCAGGGACCCTGGGTCCAAAGGACTTGCTCCATTCCCAGCACTTCTGTGTTGGTGGCATGACGTCCATCTCCTCTCTGCTCACTTCTCTCTTTTATGTCTTAAAAGAGATTGACTGAAGATACAACCTAATCCTGTAGATTGTATCCTGCCTCATTAACATAAAAATCTCTAATCCTGCCTCATTAACATCATAGAGGTTAGGATTTACAACGCATAGGATAATCACATCTGATCACAAAATGGTAGACAGTCACACAATACTGGGAATCATGGCCTAGCCAAATTGACACACCTTTTGGGGGGACACAATTCAATTCATGATACCCTCACATTGATATTTCAATATTCATTTTAAATATGAGGAAACCGAAACTCTGTAAGTTTTGGGTTCTCAGAAATTTTAACCCATGTCTGTCTGACTCCAGAGTTCCTTCTTCTGTTCCTTCCTGGGGCTCACGTACGTACACAAGATTGGATGGGAGATAGTTATGCTCTTTCATCCCAGTGCTCTTTGCTGATACCCATGCTGTGCTCGGCTCTCTCCTGAGCCCTGAGGTACAAGGAAGCAAAGATGCTTCACCTGGTCACAGGGACCTCAACATCTAGAAGAAAAGACAAAAAGAGAAAGGCACCTTCGTCATCATCATTTTCATGTTCCTCACCATTATAAACCCTGTTTAGAATGAATATTTGTCAGGCACTGCAATGGTTAAGAGTTTGGCTGCTAACCAAAAGGTTGACAGTTCGAATCCACAAGTGCTCTTGGGAAACCCTATGGGGCAGTTCTACTTTGTCCTATAGGGTTGCTATGCATCGGAATCGACTTGACAGCAACCGGTTTTGTTTTTTGGGTTAACATTTTACACATCTTAAATGCTTTAATCTTCCTGAAAACTCTATGAGGTACATTACTATTGCTACTATTCCTATTTATAGGTGAAGAAATGAAGGACAGAGATATTAGGTGACTTACCCAAGGTCACACAACCAGTACTATCAGACTTTCAGAGTTTATTCTCTTAGCCTCTATGGTAAATTACCTCAGAAGACTCAAAGATTTTTCCCCCCTTTTAGGTAGGCACAGCCATATCATAGCAAAAATTTACCCCATGAGTCCACCATTTTGTATGTGCCACAGGCATTCCTGAACTTTGTCCCTTCCCAGAGCATCACCCCTCTCTAAGCTTCACCCCTGTTGTGGAAATGTAGGATAGACTGGATGGAGAGAATGTCTGTTTCACATATGTCTTGGGTAATAAGTAACAAAGATGATTTATCTTTAATGACATTGGAGGTTGAGATCAAGACGGGCTTTACATGCACTGTCTGGTTCATGCTTCACGATGATTCCGTGAGCTGGTACAGGTGCCATCACCCACGAGGAAAGAGACTCAGAGGAGGAAAGTTACTAGCCTAAGTTTACTTGCTAAGGGTTAGCACTGGCTTTGGGTCCAACTCCAGGGCCTCAGCTATTGACCTTTTCATCAGAATGATTTGTATTTTAGTTCATGTTAAATGTCCCTGGGTCAGAGTGGTTGTTCAATGTTATATCTGATATCAGATGACAAAATGTCACAGACCTCTGCATTTCCGTGGTAGAATGTTACTGGTAGTTTTATTAGTTTTATAAAAATTACATGTGGATTTTGAGTCACTCCCAGAATTGTAGATGTTGAAACTGGATCATATAACCCCACCGTTTATTAAGGGAATCTCTCTGGTTGGCATTGCATTCATTCATTCATGTATTCATTCATCCATTCATCTGTTAAGCATCAGTTGAATGCCCAGTGTGTACCAGCAGCATGTTAAGTGATGGGGACACAGAGATGAATAGGACAGGGCTTGTCTCCTCCAGCAGCCGGTGGTAACGCATATTTCTATAATCAAGTAAAAACACATGTTTATTGGATTTTTTTTCTCCTTACTGCAGTGGTAGAGGCTCTAAGGAATACAAGTTGCTTTTGAGAAAACAGAAGGCAATGCATGAAACAACAGATAATATTAAACAGTTGGTGATCAGGGCAAGGAGGTGATCGGGCTCCAGGCAATGAAACGGTGAGGGGGAATTTGAGGCAAGCTCATGAGCTCTCAGGCACCTCGACTTGCCTCCCCAACACGAGAGCTTGATTTTAGTCAAATGGTCCTGTATTCAGGGAGCCCTGGTGGCGCAGTGTTAAAGTGATCGACTGCTAACTAAAAGGTTGGCAGGTCGGAATCACCAGCTGCTCTGTGGGAGAAAGATGTGGCGGGTTGCTTCCATAAAGATTTACAGCCTTGAAACCCTATGGGGTTGCTATGAGTCAGAATTGATGTGACGGCAGTGGATTTGGTTTGGTTTTAGTGGTCCTGTATTTTAATCCCCCAAATTTCCACTAACTAGTTCAGTGACTATGGGCAAATTACCTAACCTCTGCGAGTCATGGCTTGTATATTGTTAATATGGGCATAATCATTCCCACCTATTAGCTTTGTCATGAGAAGGGAATTTGAAAGCCAGTGTGTATTAGTTTCCTATTGCTGCTGTAACAAAGTACCACAAACTTAGTGGCTTAAAACAACACAGAGGCATTATTTTGCAGTGCTGGAGGTCAGAAGTCTGAAGCGGTTCTCACTGGGCTAAAACGAAGATGTCTGCCGGGCTGGGTTCCTTTGTAGAGGCTCTAGGGGAGAGTCTGTTTCCTTGTCTTTTCCAGCTTCTAGAGGCCACTCACATTCCTTAGCTAATGGCCCCTTCCTCTGTCTTCAAAGCCACCAGTGGCTGGTGGAGTCTTTCTCATGCTGCATTGCTCTGACACGCTCCCTTTTCTGCGTCCCTCTTTCACTTATAAGGACTCTCAAGATTACGTTGGGCTCACTCACATAATCCAGAATATTCTCCACATCTCAAGGTCAGCTGATTAGTAGCCTTAATCCCACCTATGACCTTAATTCTCATTCGCCTAACATATTAACAGGCTCTGGGCATTAGAGCATAGTCATCTGTGAGTAGGACATTATGCTGCCTACCATATTATGGAAAAGGCGTAGTTCAGTGCCACTCCTACAGATGGGAGTCAATATAGGCTGACTGCTTTCATTATTGTTACCTAAGAGGTACCTGTACCTGTACCCATTGCTGTTGAGTCGATTCTGACTCAGCGACCCTAGAAGATGGAGTAGAACTGCCCCATAGGGTTTCCTAGGAACGGCTGGTGGATTAGCGCTGCCGACCTTTTGGTTAGCAGTTGAACACTTAACCACTGCGCCACCACGGCTCCAAGCACACTCCTTAAGTGCCTGTTAATGTCCCTGTGTCTCTTGACCCATCTCTTTTCTGTATTCCCCTCTCCACCAGCCTCACTCAGACTCACACTAGATCTCAAGTAAACTCTATGAACTCTACTTCTTGCTTCCAGATTTGCCCCATCCCATTCCTCTCCCACTCTGCTGCCAGAATCAATCTCTCTTTGACGCCAGATGCTCATGTGCACTGTCTAGAAACATCCATGATTCACCATGGCCTTCAGGATTAAATCTGGGCATTTGTAGAGGAAGCCAACAATAAGAAGCCCGACCTTCAGCGGACTTTTCTCTGCTCTTTTCTCAGGTATTACCAGATCCACGTGACCTTGAAGGTGTCCTCAAGGATCCCCCACAGAGTGAGTGCCTCCATCGTTGGGCAGACAGGTGAGCAGAAGGGTGGCAGTGGGTGCTGGTCCCCCGCTGGTGACCTTCAGTCATCACTGTACTCCAGGACGTAGCAGAGTGCCTGGCATGCAGGGACACTCGGTAAATCATTGTTTAGTGCTGGATGAATGCGTTTTGGAAATGGAGACCCTCTGTTGGACACGGTGAGATGTGTACATTGTGGGAGGAGGAACTGCTGTCCCAGGAGCAGCTGGTACTTGGGTTACACTTAGCTGTGGGGTGTTGGCTAAAGTCAGGTCAGGGAGGAAGAGGATGGGGAACAACATCCAGCAGGGAGTTAATGGCAAGCTTGTGGTCAAAGAGAATCTGGTAGTTATGTTGGTGCCCAGAGGACTACGTGAGTAGGAAGTCCATAGCATGTTCGATGCAGAACATGGGGTCCAAAGACTGTCCCTAATTTGGGGAGAAGGATTGCCAAGAACAACCCAGGGTCCTAACACTGTATTAAGTGGGTATTAAGTGGATATTCCAGGGTCCCAACAAATACTCGGTGTAATGGAATGCTGAATCAGAAACATAGAACTCATTGCATCAAGATTAACTAGTGGAAGCATAAGGAGGTTACATTAGCAAATTTGGGAGGACTGTATATATCAGCGAGACTTTAAGAATAAGGAGAAAGACATCGGGGTAGGAGAGAAAAAAATGAGATAAAAAGATGGAACTGTGGAAATTGTGCATAATTGTAGTTATAAAAGTAAGGGTAGCCGTGGGCATTATAGAAATCAAATTCAGTAGAGTTAGAGTTGTGGTCATAGCTACAGTTCGTAAGCTTCATTTGAAATTGTCCTGGACATTAGACCACCACCTTGTTTGTAATGATATTACAGTATAGTGAGTGAAGTCACATGCCATTGAATAGTCAGAAGTTAGAGGTGTGGATGCGATGATCTCCTTAACTCCATCTTGGAAGAAGTGTAGAAAAGGAGTTGATGACTCAGGCCACACAAAAAGACATCAGGAGAGGCTTATAATGTATTTTATGCAAATAACGCGCATCTTCTCTGTTTGCCGGCTATGCCCTCCCCCCATGAAGCACCTTCACAAGCACCACAATGGCAATCCTCTTCCACATGTTGCTGTAAAAAAAAAAAAAAAGAAACGTGGCCGGCAGACACAGAAGGTGCACGTTTTTTGTGTAAAAATACAGTAATTTGTGCGTAACAGGCTAACTTTGACTTCTGAGCTCTAGAAGGAGGAAGGGATTGCTGACCACTGTTTCTGTTGCTGACTCTGGGCAGAATAAATGTTAAGTAGTAAATAAGTCACTACCTACCCAAGATGTTTTTTCTGTTCTGCTCTAGTCCTCTTTCCTGGGAAGAAATCAGAGATCTGAGACTAGGAAGAGGTGGCCACTCACTCTTCTATGCCCTGTGTTGGTTCCAGGGGATTCAGGCAGCCTAAAGTTCCCTCCTTTGCTGCCAGCATGGGGTTGGACCCCTTCTCCACCACTGTTTCCACCAGAGGAAGGTTCCTGGAGTCCATGCAATGATCCAGGACTTTGCCCTTAGCTGGCTTTGAACCGTAACATTGCCACAGACTTGTTGTGTGAGCCCAAGAATATTCTCGGTGGTTGAGCTTCATTTCCTCACCTGCAAAGAGGATGAAAATCTGTCTTTCTCAGGGTTTTGTTTTAGAGATTATAAATGTAAAGCGTCCTGGACAGGGACTGGCACAAAGTAAATGTCCAATAAATCCTACCCATGAAGAGTCTCTGGGTGGTGTAAACAGTTAACTGCTCAGCTGCTAACTGAAAAGTTGGGGATTTGAGTCCACCCAGAGGTGCGTCGGAAGACAGGCCTGTTGACCTACGTCCAAAAACTCAGCCACTAAAAACGCTATGGAGCGCAATACTGCTCTGACACATATGGGGTCACCATGAGTCAGAATTGACTCTATGGAAACTTTATAT